GTAATGTGACTACACGCCTGTAGTCATAGCATAGTACCTCCACTCTGTGCTGCGGGCACTCTGTTCACATTTCTTGAATGGGTGAAAAAAGGAAGAATGAATGTTTTCCAAGGACCCAGCCTAGGGCCTGGGCAGCGTGTAGGAAGTGTCTGGGGGACTAAACAGGTGAACGGGGCCCTCACTGAGATGGGGCACAGAGGTAGAGGAGGCTAGCTCAGTTAGCCTCTTCACCACAGTCCTGTGAGGTGCTATCCCATTCTACAGATGAGGAAACTGAGGCCCTGATGGGTTAAGCTGGCCCAAGGTCACACAGCTAGTAAGTGGCAGAGCCAGTGTTGAAATGGAAGTAGTCTGACTTCAGAGCTTTATCTACCCACCACACTGTAGGGACATACTGAAAAATCTGCTGAGGGTATGAATCAATCAATACATGAAAGACTTTATTGAACCAGTGAGTGAAAGTGTGGATAAGCGAGTGTGTCCCTAGGTTGGATTGGCAGCTATGTTTAATTCAGGACTGTGTCCTGTCAAAAAAAAAAAGGAAGAAACGGAGCCACTTTAAAATGGAGCTGTAGCTGCCATGCCAGAGGAACTGCCTTACACATCTTATGCCTCAAACCTTTGGAATGTTAAAACAGGGCAAAATAACATTTGGACTGGGCCTAAAGCAACCTAATGCCCCAAAGAACATTTGCAAAGACAACAAGAAAGCAGACGTGTCTACTGGGCCCCTGGCTACCAAACTCCAAATTAAAACATTCTTGAGAATAAACATCACTGTGTTATGTTGTCTTCCTTCTATTGATGTAATTGCTCCCCTTCCCTTCTCATAAATACCCCTTGTCTTTGTTTATTTTTTCCCTTTTCTATTTTTTTTTTGGGGGGGGTTGTTTTGTTTCATTTTGTTTTGTTTATTTTTTGCCTTGCCTTTGTTTCTTTTCTTTTTTAAAAAGATTTTATTGGGGAATTAGGGAGGGGAACAGTGCGGGGGAAGGGAAACAGACAAGTTGCTATTGTTTTGTTCTTCAGTCTAGTTGTGGAGGACTTGCCTCACTGGCCCATGTTGGTATTATCATTGTGCTCGCCAGCTGAGCAGTTGGTCGCCAGCCATTGGACGGCCGCTCACGGGGGCTCACAGGGGCTCACAGGGGCTCACGGGAGCTCACGGCAGCCCACGCCATCGCCACCCACTCACAGCAGCCCAGCTCCAGGTTGAGCTGTTGTTCACAACCTTAGCTGTAGAGGGCGCAGTGTCATTGGCCCTCATGTGGGATCCGAACCGGCAGCCCTGCTGCTCAGAGCTGGCGCTCCCAAGCCAGCTCTTAACCAATTGAGCCACTCGACTGGCCCTTGCCTTTCTTTCTTTCTTTTTTTTTGTTTTTTTAAAGATTTTTTACTGGAGAATTGGGGGNCCAGATCGGATCCCACATATGAGGGCCAGTGACACTTGTCTGTTCCCCTTCCCCCAATTCCCCAGTGCTGTTCCCATCCCCCAATTCCCCAATAAAAATCTTTAAAAAAAAAAAAAGAGTACCCTACTTCCTCCTTCCCTGTCTTTGTGAGCCTTTCAACAGAAACAGAACAAGGCACATCCAGGTGGAAAGAGACTAATTCATTCATACAGCAGATTCTAACAGAGCATCTTTTACCTGCCAGGCTCTGCAGCTTTCTGGGAGCTCATATTCTTGGAGTGGGGGAGGGGTGGGGAGAGGGGAGGAGAAAAGGGTTAAACAACTAAATAAATAAAGATGATTTTGAACAGTGACTAAATGAGTACTGTACAGAATCTGAAACAGCTTCTGGGAAGGAAAATGATTGTGGCAAAGAGCTTTACTGATACAGTGATTGGGAAAGGCTCTCCAAGTGGGTAACAAAGTATGATCTAAAAAATGAGAAGGAACCAGCATGCGAACCACCTGGCTGGCATCTTATCCCAGGACAGACTAGAGTGGGGTGAGGTGCCCCAGCGTAACAAGCAGAGGCAGCACGTTGGCTGCTGTCATCTTGGCTCATATACAAGTGTGTAGGTCACCACAAGGCATGGGACACAGAACAGGGAAATTCAAGGACTCGGGTGGGACCTGGCAATCTGAGACAGTAAATAAAGGGAACCAGCTTCTCCAGTGCTCAGAAAGGGAATAGAGTATCACGTTTGAACAAATACAAACAAGAGATATTATTTATTGAGCATCTACTGCATACCAGGCTCATGCTGTCTCCTAGAGATACAGAAACAGGGGGGTGTCCCTGCTCCATAGGGTAGTCATGTTCCTCATGTGAGGGTGCATGTAGGTGTAAGAGGTACACAGCGCTGTGTGAAACGCTAAATCAACCCATCTGAGGAAGTGACTCAGGGCTCTCAGATTAAAACTGCGGAATGTTCATTGATTTATTCAATGACTGTGGTTACCAGGTTCCTACAGGCATTAGTAGCTGACATGTATTGACCATTTGCTCTGTGCAAGGGAGACAACATCCTCGCTGTGCCTGTATGCAGAAGCTCTATTTTTGTACCCATTTCACAGATAAGAGAACTGAGGTCCACAGAGAGTTTGAGGGATGCACTTAAGGCCCCATGGACTGGCACAGTTGGAATTAGAACCCAGGCAACCTGGTGCTCAAGTTCTTGCTCCTCATCATAGGGCCAATGGCCTCTCGTCCTAGCAAGGTCTCTTGTAGGTACAGAGGATCCAGAGAGAACAGATGTAACCCTGTCCTCGAGTGCACAGAAAGGAGGTGCACTTCTGATGAGTGCAACGGTAAAAGGGCTGGCGGAGTGGCACGTTGGTTGGGAGTTGGCTTGGGGCGCTGGCTCTGAGTAGCAGGGCCCTGATTCCGATCACACATGAGGGCCAGTGACACTGCGCCCTCTATGGCTGGGATGGTGAACAACAGCTTGACATGGGGCTGGGCTGCGTGGGTCTCCAGCGAAGGCGTGGGCTGCGGTGGGGCTGGCCGGCAGTGGGCGTGAGCTTTCGTGAGCTGCGTGAGCGGCCATCCAATGGCCAGCGAGCAACTGCCTCACCTAGGAGGAGCCCAATGATCATACCAACATGGGCTAGTGGGGTGACGTCCTCCACAGCTGGACTGAGGTGCAAGAGGACGGTGGCTTGTCTGTTCCCCTTCCCCGGTTCCCCAAAGCTGTTCCTCTCTCCCAAATCCCCAATTAAAAAACAAAACAAGGGCCGGCCGAGTGGCGCGGTGGTTAAGAGCTGGCTTGGGACGCCAGAGGGCCCCGGTTCGGATCCCACATACGAGGGCCAGTGACACTGCCCTCCACAGCTAAGATGCTGAACAACAGCTCAACCTGGAGCTGGGCTGCCGTGAGTCGCCGGCGACGGTGTAGGGTGCANATTTGCCCCAGACATCACTACCCAGAGTCTCCTCGTGGCAGGAAGGGAAGGGACCTGTCTGTCTGTCCATCTGTCTATGGGTCAGATGTGCTAGATGCCCCCTGCCTTTTGGGAATGCAGCCCCCAAGGCCTGATCACTGTGCCAGGGGCCTTGCTAGGGGCCCAGTGGGTGCTCTCTGGCTTGACGCCAGCCCCCCAGGTCCTAGGACAACACACGAGTCTCGCTAGATGCTTGTGCTCTCTCAGCTATGAATGTTGTGGAGATACCCGAGAGAGCTGTAGCCTCCAGCACTCCCTCCGCACCCCGAACCCTTCATCATTCTTCCATAAGTACCCCAGTATGGCGCAGCGGTGGGGGGGGGCGGGCAGACTGGTCAAACGCCCCCTGGCAGGACCAATAGGCCTAGCACCCCCTGTGCTGCCACCTTCACTCACGGCAAATCCTGCTCTGATCTTCACGTGAGGCACAGCCCCCTCTGGGCTACCCTGCATTGGACCACTTGCTCTAGCCCCACACGGCCCCCGCCCTCCCTGCCCTGAGCCTGAGCAGGGAAGGGGCGGTTCGTGTCCAACCCGCAGTCCTGGGCTGTGACCCCATGCCCCTGCCCCAGGCGCCCTAGAGTGGCTGAAGCAGAAGCTGTTCCGTGTGGGTGAGGACTGGTATTTCCTGATGACCCTTGGGGTGCTCATGGCCCTGATCAGCTACACCATGAGCTTCACCGTGGGGCGTGTGGTCCGAGGTAAGCCCTTCCTGGCACGCACGCGTGCTCGGGACCCAGGGCTTCCGAGCACGTTCTGGGAGATGCCACCTGGGCTGCCAGGAGCAGCGGGGGTGGGGGAGGGGTCTGAAAGGGGACGAGGCCTGGGTCTGGTCCTGGCTTTGCTCTTGACTTGCTGTTTGACCTGGGGCAGGCTCCTGCCTGTCTCTGAGCCTCAGTCTCCTCATCTGCACAATAAGCAGGAGACACCGGAATGTCCCCAAGAGCCCTTTTCCTCTTCCGGCAGCCCCAGCTCCCTCTCCTCCCGCCCTCCCTCCTTGCTCTCAACTCAGTGGGGAGGGGAGGGCACTTGCCTAGACCACCATGCTTCAGCAGGCCCTCTCCACCCTGAGGTCTCCCTGGAAGAGTGGGCGTGGGCAGGAAAGGGCCTAACACACCTTTTCTGGGACACTGGCTCAGGGGTCATATGAGGACCTGCTCTGCACCAGACATTGTCTCGGGCGCTTCACGCTCTCTCATTTCTCACAATGACCCTGTGAGGGAGGGACCATCACTAACCCATTCGACAGACAGGGAAACAGAGGCTCTGAGAGGCTGAGTCGCTTGCCCAAGGCTCCTCAGCTAGGGAGTGGCAGAGCTG